AGATATATTTATTCATGCAACTTTGTTTAAAAAATGAGGAATATGAGATATGTGAGCTGCTGTGGGTTTTCATTTTAAAGAGCGAATATTATAAAACCCACTTTATCCTCCCCTAAAATTGCAATGCTAAAAAAAATTGACATCTTGATGTAATTTACTCATGATGGCTGGTGACTCTCCAGGTTGGAGTCCTTCTTTGTTCTTGCTCCTCAGTATGACTGCATAAGTGTCAAATCAATCTTAAATGAGAAGTAAAGGTGCATTCTACTGTATTAGTTTTACATTTCTGTTGCTCCTGAAAATGCTGCTATTGTTTCAACTGTGCACATCAATTCAAATGCCTGCACCATGGGGCTTAGTTATTCCCTCTTCACAGCAAGCATTTTCTCTTCTCTCCCTTCTCTCCATACTCCCCTGACAATGCTGCCCTGACTTTGTACAAAGTACAAAACAATGTTCTAATTCTTTAGCTTTTTCAAAAGGACTCTCTGCCTTTTTGAATGTTCTCTCCTCCATTTGAAAGCAGTGACTCGTGCCAGCAACTCTCTGATCCCTTCCACAAGTTGCTATTCACGTTTTAGTCATAGAACTGTGTTGGCTCCATATAGACATATTCCATCGGGGGCTGCACAATAGCAATCGGGCAGAATTGTATCCTGACTAACTGTCCCCTCCAGTTAGTCTGGGGGAAGGGAAACAGATTCTTGCCTCTTGCTTGTTGAATAAAATGGGTAAGAAATTCCCACCTCTTTAAGCAGAGACCTGGAGCTCTTTGTGTAGCCAGAATATGCACAAATACATGTTGTAATATAAATGCACCATGCCACCCACGTAGACTAAAATCTCACTACTACCAATATTGTTTTCAATATAATTTGCCAATCCAAAAACAGCTGCGAGAAATTCGAGGTGTCATTGACAAACTGACAGCTAAGTGTGAGCTGCTGAGAGTGTGTCACAGGGTTCAGTCCAACTGGGAGTTTGAATTTTTCAACACAAATCCCATAGGATTACACAAATGAGGAATTGACCTCAAAACCCTATAGTATTCTGGTTCAAAATACATTTTTAATTAGTCTGGGGGATGGCAATGAAACTAAATTTAGCAGATTGAGTCTCTAACTCTATTGCACCATAATGTTCATGTAGTATTTATGGCTCCACGTTATTAGACAAAATGTATAAACACATTTTGTAAGCTACACTCACTATAGCATTCACTGGTGTACCATAGTGTCCAGTGGGAGCCCTGATTATAAATCAGATTCTCCTATTACTTGTGTTTTTAGATACCCTCCTTTCCTGCCTGCCCATGATGGAGAAAGCGGTTCATATCACCTAGAGAATTCCAAAAGGGAATTTGAGAAGGTTTACTGAACCTTTACATGAATATCTGTGCAGAGACCCTTCCAGGGTAGTGCTTATGCTTCTGTTGTGTTTCCTGACAGCCGGGAAATGAATAATACGAGTTTCTTGCGCTCAGGGTTGAAGCCATAAGATTGCTCTGAAATCTGTTTGGAAAGGTTCCAGTTTGGATATTGATAGCCTGCAACATGGTCACTGATGTAATCTCACCCAAATCCGGTTGTCACATGAATGGGAGTTGCAGCTCTTTTATAGTTACACTCTTGTTTTCAGAATTGAATTTTTACTTTGGGAGAGTGGATTAGGGAAGAAAATCATTTACAGGAAGGACTAGTTAATTGATTACTTTTTCAAAATAAAAGCTTCCTCTGAATCCCTTGCCTTCGTCCCAGTTTCCTGTATATTTTCCCATCGAATACCAGGCAGGTGCTCTGCTGCCAGATCTCAAGGCTCTTCATGAAGCAGCAATAGAGCAATTAGGGGGACGCATCATGTACACATTTCTGCCCACTGGAAGGAAGTACCCTAATTCTATGCAGTACCTCTGCTGCGAGCATGATCAGGGCTCAAACCATGTGAGGATGCTGTGTGTGTTATCCACTGTCCGCTCCTGAAAATTGGGTGTTTGACTGCGCATTACAGCTGTTTTGGGAGCCATGGGTCAGTGGGGAGCTTTAGCCTACAACCTTCCTTCTGAGAGCCACGATATCAACAACTGAGCCAAGCTAACAGCTTGGAAAAAACAGGTGCAGGTTGCTTCGAAAAACCCGGATGAACCAAAGCTTACTTGGATCCACTCAACTGTATGGTTTGATCTGTAGTTTGTAAAATGTTTACCACCGGATCTCTTTGAAATCCAACGATTATAAAAACAACTATTGATTCACATTTTGCCATGCCCACTTCTGTTAATGTTTAGCTTTTATTTGTTTGAAGAGTGATCACTGCTAAGTTGTTAGGGAGTGCCGCCATAAGCTTAACTGTGAAGAAACCGAATTCACGTCACTGGTGATTGTTGAAACCTCGGTGTGATTCAGCATAAAGTTGGCAGGTGATTTAAGAGCTAACTGACAGGCTCCATAACCAAACAACAACAATTTGCACTTATACAGTGCCCTCTGCATAGGGTAATGTCTCAGAGCGCTTAACGGTGGCGGAGCCTGACTTCAAGCTGGAGGGAGGGGGAGGTAGCCATAAGCACGGTCGAAGAGGAAAGTTTTCAGGCAGGACTTGAAAGAGGGGAGAGAGGGGGCAAGGTGTTGGGATTGAGGGAGCAGTTATCAAATGCAAGGATTATTATTATTATTATCAGCTGGCTCACTTGAGGAACTATTCCAATATACACATGTGGGATTCAGTCTGTATTTGCTCTTGAAACAGTAACACGAAGAGGGAAAGACGTAGACAAACAAATAGGTGTTCATGTTAATCATTGTTTGTTCTGCTTTGATTTTTTTTTAAAAAGGGATGACATTTGGGGTAAATCTTAAGAAAAGTTTAACATTTGGACTTGTGTTGAAATTTCCTCTGGGAGATGTAGGGTGTTGCCGTGATGATAACATTTCCTTCTCTTCTGAAGTGAGTCACTCTTTAGATATCTGTGGCTGTCAGCGATGAGACGGTGCACAGTATTTTCTCAGGTGAGGAAGGCACCAATTATAAAATATAAACGCTGACCTGATGCAGTAGTCTGAACCTGTCGAATTTCTAATGTCTGACTCCTTTGCCTGAAAGAATGTTAGTCTGCTCTTGGTCATCAGACCTCAGCGGCTCCTGCTCATAATGAGTCATACGACTTTTAGATTGCTTCATTCAAGCCACTGACCCTAAAGTTAATTTGCAATCAAGACTGCAATCGTGAGAGAATTCTTTCCTCCTCGTTTAATAAGTTTTTGAATCATCCAGACATGCTATAGTACCAAGTGGAGTTTGAACTCGCGCCATTAAGACTGAGGGGAGAGTGCAGCCAAGTAGCCAACTGATAACTGCTGGTAATATTTGCCTCAGGGATCGAATGCAAGGGGAAAGAGAAATATTTAGTGGATTTGTGCAATTATATGTTTCAAATCTTTTAGTTCTGTTGGAGGTTGATACAATACTTGGAGAACATTGCACAGTGAGCTTGACTAGAGGAGGATGACCGTTTGACGAAGCTTTGCCAGAATTCATTTCCTTCAGCACATGCATCGGGTGGTTCCACTCCAGTTTGTCAGACGCTTTTCCACAGCCAGGGATAATCAGTTTATACAATACACTATTGTGGTACAGGATATAGAGAAGACTTCTGACATAGAGTGAATGTCTTCTGCAGGCAAGGCAGTCTCTGTACGCCTGGTTGGCGATTACAGTAGTTTATTTAGACGAGGCCAGAATATGCAGCATTACAGTTTGGCAGAGATGTGTGAGGCACAGTTCAACAGGTTCTTTCCCTTCTTGTGAATGACTGAAATCTTTCGTCTTCCCACATGCCAGTGAATGTGCCATTGACTCTCATTATGGCTGTTGTGAATTCTAAGAGTTGGCTGTTAACTCTAATTTAGTCTGTGTTGTGGAAAAAGAAACCTTGCTCTTGTTTAAATCTTAATTCAGAAGTTAGGTTTGGATTGATGCCAGTCCCTTGACAGAATCTCTTCCAGGGTCCAGCAACAGCCTGTTTTGTGCTGATTGTGTCAGGCTACAGCTCAGTAACGCTGAGAGATCAGTGGTACTTTCTACAAGCTACAGCAAAGCCGAACATTTCTGTGGATTTGGTAGAGTGAAGCAGAGCTAAACTGAAGGATCTGCTACTCCAATATCATTGCTGAATGCTAAATGATTGTGATGGGTAACTGGTACCTAAGGTGACATGAAAGCGGCATGTGATGTTTTCAGTAATGTTTTGAAGGCTTGTAAAGTTGTATTCTACCCAATCCCAATACTTTTGAAACATTGTGTACTCGTCAAGTATTAGAATTACAAGGCAGGAAGAGAGAGAGAGAGAGCTGGCAAATTTAATCTAACTTCATAATGTAACCGATCTCTGGAGGAGGCAGAACAGTAAGCATTCCACTTCCTGATGTTGTTTACCTGATTTTGACAACATAATTGCTAGTGCAATTACCAAAAAGATTTGACTTTAACCCCACGTCTCCCTTTATTTTGTTTTGTTCTGTAAGCTTTTCCCTTTTTTCCTGTCTTTTTTTTTCTTTTCGTACACCCCGAAACCTTGAAAGGCCTATGCCTTGGTGGTATTTCATTTTCAGTGCTTGAGACCCCATTGTAATTTGTTAAAATGATTGAAGACCAATTCTAGTTCATTGTAAAACTAGCAAAAAAAAAGGATAAAATTTTCTCTGCTGATAACTTCCTCAAATTCACACGGATCGTGAAGGATATTCCTTTCATAGTTGGGACAACCCAAAATTGTTAAGCTGCAAACTTCTCATAGATTCACTGGATTTTGGAGACTGCTAAAATATGAATGGGAAAAAATATGAATCTCAGATTCTCTCCATTATTATCTTTACTTGTGCCCAATGTATTGGACAATTGACACAGAGCACCCTGATTGATTTTGTCCTTTGTCTGAGCCTCGGTTGTTGCACGTTCTTCATGTTGGCTTTCGCTATAACATGTTCTTTTCCCCCTCGTTGCAGGTAGGTGACCTGGTACAAGTAACAAAGATCAACGTGAGTGGTCAGTGGGAAGGAGAGTGCAACAGCAAGCGGGGTCATTTCCCTTTCACCCACGTTCGGCTCCTGGACCAACAGAACCCCGAGGAGGACATGAGCTGAGTGCGTTTGTTTTTAAAAACAGAAGAAAATAGTGATTTGAATTATGGATGGGAGCAAGCTTTCCTTGGCTGTTTATTTCCCCAAACTGACCCATTGATGTTTACACTAGCCCTGTAAGATCATTTTTGACTCATCAAAAGAAAGCCCTCTTTGTGTCTGCAGTGTATGGATTGGAGAGGAGGATATTGATGACGTGTGGTGTTCAGTGCTGCCGCTGATCTCTAAATCAACCTTTAGCTTGTGTGTCGAACACGATGCGCACCTCGTGTGTGCAGCCTTGTCTATCAGTTTTTTTTTCCTTCCAGTGTCATCATTGAAAATGTTGCCTCGTTACCTAAGTTGACAACCACGCCAGCATTCTGATTGGTTAAGCTGTGCCTACTAGAACGTGTATGTGTATTTAAAAAGTGAACGGGTTTAATCCATCACACTCCTCATTACACACACGTACACAAACTTGGCAGGTCTCAGTTGTAACTACTAAACACTACTGAATGGGGGAACATTTGCTACCGGTTTGGGCCCAAATTGACCTGATTGCAGGTGCTTTAATAAGCTTAATACTGTACTTTCAATGGCCTCAGTGAATCATATTTAGCAATCAGGAGAATTTTTTTAATTGTAATCTTTAGAGACAATTTAATTTTGTGTATGGGCTGACATGGTATCTCGACAATGAGTGAGTGACCTTCAGCGTTAATGCATGTAAAGTAATTCAACACGGTTTTGACAAGAACACTATACTGAGAGAATCTTAGGGGTGAGGGGGGTTTCATTTTCACCTTTCAGCCAATTTAACCTCGGATTGGTTGTGATTGCAGCCTTCTCTCAAATGATAACTTTCTCAAAAACTGAAAAATGCCAAGTCTTTATATAAACCCCTCTCCCCTCCAGCAGTGTCTATTCTGAAGCTCTCTGGCATTGCTGGAAAACAAAACACTAAGAACAGAAACACTACAAGAAAACAAAGGGGACGCAAAGGTTTCAAATTATGTTCACTGCCAGTTAATGCTGGATTAAACTATTACTGGTGGGTAAGAAGGACACATGTAATATTCACTTCTTCCCATGGTGGTGTATAGTCTCACACCAGCGGATTGAGTATTCTGTACACAAGCGATTCCGATGTAATAGACGTGAGATTAAAGTTCTCCTGGCACTAGCCTCGCTACACCTTGGGGTAATTCCTAGTTTGCTCATCGAGTCTGTCAGGATCTTAAACTGCCAGATGGGGACCAGAAGTGAGAGAATCCAGTTTTCCTTTGTTTCCAACCAAAGGTGCTCCCTTGTTAAAACGTGTGTGTGTTTTTTCACGATTGATGCCACCTGTTCGAGAGATCCAATGGAACAGCAAGTGCTCTGAAGTGTTGTTGTGAACTGGCCTGTAATCTCTAGTTGTCTTAATCTCTTATTCATGTTATTTACAACATACAACACAGTTAGATTGTAACCTAGTTATCTTCACTTTAACTTTTAATTTTAAACATTTTCTTTGCAAGGTCCAGCTCTGATTTTTTTGATTTATCCCAATCCTGTACATTTGATTTTCAAACTCCCAATGCGATTAATTCTGTATTTTCTTTGCTCTGATTTAGAACTGTAACCTACAATAAGAACGTGGATGTATTTATTGTTCTAGAATTGCTAAATGATGACTTTAGTCCCAGTATTTGGGTACGTACAACAAGGTGCAGAATACACCTTGACTCACCACACTCCAAGACAACTCATGTGGAAATGAAAAAAGAGCCGGAAGAGGAAATGATCAAGTCGTCCATGGGGATTGCTTCAGCTTTTGCTGGCCTTTGGAGAAGACTCCTAGTTGAGAGGGAGAAAGATCATTCCTTTAATCGATAGGGTCCAATTAGCTTTTAAAAAAAATAATCAGTGTTCGAACAGCATTGTGATTATAATTGTATCTTGGCTGTTTGAAACCAAAATTTTTGTTCGCCATGTGGAAACTGGATTGTTGTTGTCCCCCTGCACTTACCTTTGGGCACAATGTCAATAACAGCACACTTTTATGCAAGTAAAATACAAGTTGGAACCTGTGGTATCCTTTCGCTCCACTCGTCATCACCTGTATATATAAATCGGTGCCCCCAGAAAAGCGCCAAGACTGCATGCAACAGATTGGGGAGGGGCTAGAATAGTAACTACAGTATAGATCAGTGTAACTGATTGTGCCAAACATTAACTGTAACCTGTTAATTCCTGAATGGGTGTCTTGTAATGTTAGCTCGCCTCTGGTCAGAAGTGTCGATGGCTTTCTGTTCCCCGCTCTGTTGCACGCGGTATCAATTAATTGTTTGGGCCTAGTGTTTGACGGCTGCAGTTTCATTCATTGCTTTTTTTTTAAAACACTATAGATGTAAAGGAGGGTGTAAGGATACCATTGGTTCTATCTGACAGCGCTGAACATGATGGTATTGATTTGACAAAACAGTGTGTGAGAATTTTAAATGTAATGGGATTAGTGCTGTTGTGAGTGAACACAATTTGCTCTGTGCCAGATATAAACTCCTTGAGTGGAGAGCACTTTAACTGGTTGCATCTCCCTTCTGTTGGCAGTTACAGCTTTCTAAACGTGTGCCTGCAGGACGACAGACAGATTCCATGTCAAAGCACAAGTGTTGCTTTACGTACCAAAGGTCAGCAATGATCATTAAAATAATCACTAACTTGAGCTGTTCAAAGCTGGTGGGGGAGAGGCGGGGTGTGGTGAAGGTCTTTTTTACGTATAATACAGTTTTAACTTGGCATGTGCAGTGTTTTTGAGCGTGCCCAAATAATTTAACTGCCAAAATAAAAAAAAATTGATCTTTCACCAGTTTAGAGAAGAGCTGATTGAGAATCGCTGCAGAAGGCCACACAATGCTGTATGAAATCAGGGTAGGAATCTGTGGTGGGTTAAAGGCACTGATAATGTGAACTGGGCACATGGCTTTATATTTTTCATCACCTCGTAATCTTAAGCAATGAGTATTTCCAGCCAGTTAGTGTTTTGGACCTTTAGTTTTTTGTTGGTGATTGTATGGATTACCTTCCTCTTAACAATGACCCTAGGTGTGTAATCATCTATATGCTGATCAGTATTTTAATCATCATGTATTGAATCGTGACCGACTCCCTCTGCCTTCCTATTGGCACCATCTACCAATCACGGTTTACAATTCGAAAGTGTTGAAATGTTGATGCCTGGGATTGTTGTGTTTGCAATTTGTTTATTCAACGGGATAAGCATTAGAATTCAGGCTTTCGTTCTGGCTTCGAAGAGGAAACATCTCAAGCCAAACCTGACCCAACTCAGCTCACCTTTTCTGTGCGGCTCAGTGCTACGCCATGCTCAGCTGATGCTTGTTTTTTTGTGACCCTGGAAAAAGCTCCCTTTTCTGCAGCTATATCTGAAGCTATGGCATCCTCTTCTCTTCATGTAGATGGTTCTCTATTCATTAAAGCTGTTGTAAATGCTGAACTCTATTCTTATTAGCTGGCTGCTGGTGTCTGTGGCTCAGGATTTGAATTAATGGCAAGGCCCCATCAAAACCAATTTTGAGATTCGTGTTTCACTTTATCAACCAGAGAGCAAGTTTAGCTGCAAGTAGCCACAGCAAGTGAAACCAGGAAAGAAAATCATTAGTGGCTTAGAGCTATGATGTAGCATCATTGGCGCACTGCAATCTTGGTGGATATTCCACTGTAATGTGCAGCTTTGCTCAGAATCATGGACTGTCCTTAAAGTTGGCAAATAGACAATGCAAGAATTTGTTTTAAAAGTCAAATATTTTTGCACCCCCTCCTCCCCAAGGTCTATGCTGACCTCTCAATAGGAAAGACCACCCCTCCCAGATTATAGCCCGCATCAGTCCAGTTCTGTTTTTTGCTACTGGGATGTGTGTGAAAGTAACCTGGCCTATATCTCACCTGTGGGCTGGCAAAATATTGTCCCGGGTTTAATATCGAATGTCTTGATAATGAAACTGTTTGGTGAAGACCCTGTACAGAGAAATTGCACCACAGGCCCAGATTAAGCTGGTGCGTCATGCTCACAGATCATCCATTAGATGCAGCGATTAGCCTGGTTGTCCAAATAGATTTCATAACATAACTGCTTATTAGATGTTTACATTCCCAAGGGATTAAAATACGGTGTCTGCTTTAACTGCTTGCTCTTTAAACTGTCTGTAGGATCAGTGACTGATCTGCTCAGCTCAGCACACGAAACTCGAGGCAAGTGAGATGTAGACCTGTCTTTCTAGTCAATAAACGGTTAAAAGATTAATTATCACTAATTCTCACCTCGAACTGTGCTAATTCAGCTAAGTGTTTTTTTTTAAATGACATCAGTCTGGAATATTGTCACTGTGCAATGCACAGTTTAAAGACACACAACAGATGCATGTGTGACTGATGGAATTTCATTGCTGAGCTTTCTTTGCTGGTGATCCAGTGTCACTTCTGCCACACACTTAGCCATTTAGTGGGTCATTGGTTGGGTTTCATTACTGTTCAGAAGAGAAAACTTCTCTTTGAGTTGGTTTGGAAATACTTTTTACGTAAAGTTGAGTTCCTGCCATTCAGTGAGTTGTGTAAACACTTTAGTTTAGAGCTTGTATTTGCCTAACTAATATTGAACAGGGAGGGAGATGAGAAGAATAATCACGTATGTTAAAAAGAAAAACGAGAAATTGGGCAGGAAGGAATAGAGATGATTTGAACCATTGAAATCCTGCTCCCTGGCATTGCTCAGCTTACCCAGATCAAACGATACTGACAGTATTTGAAAGTGTGTAGTCTGTGTAAAAGAAAAGTATCAATCCCAAATCTATGCAAACACAGATACCGGGCATGATTTTGTGTTAACAGCAGCCTCTTCTGATCATATTTGAAGGGAATCCTGTTGATATCCCAACTTGATTGACACTTGAAGAATTAATGACCTTTAATTGGTGCCAATCGAGTATTGTATTCGAGCATTATGTGAATTCTAGAGATGATTAAAGTAGATGTGGAAGTCTGGGCTTGTTCTCAGTGTGATGACACTACACTGTGCAAAAACACTAAACACACAAGCAAGCCCCAGCTTGCTCCAATTAAGCTTTTTGTAATTTTTTCAACCACTACCGTGTGATTTGCACAGCTAATAAACGGAACAATTTCAAGTAGTTTGCCATGTGTATTATTTTGTTGTGACATTATCAGTGGTTCTTGTGGAGATTACTGGCTAGTTTCTATTTCTGACTTATTAATTTTTTTAATGTATTCCAATCATTTTGTCGCAGTTTTTACTGTACTCGGCACTTCTGTACACGGCACTGACAGCTGACTGCTGTCCATATATTTCTGTAATGCACATAAATAATCATTCTGTTTATCGGATAGTTTACCTGAAAAGCAAAGTCTTAAATCGGATTCTGAAACACTACTTTGACCAGATACAGTTCATGTGTACTGTTGTGTTCTGAAGGTAGACGGCACAGACTTTTAATCTATAGTTCTCATGCTTTTTTTTTGCAATGTTTTTTACAATCTTGAAAAGACGAGTTAGCGATCTCCAGGTCCACAGCGACACGAACACTGTTGAGCAGCAACTGAAAAAGTGCAGCATCAGATGACTTTGTAATAGGAGGTGGGATTAGAAAAGCATAATGCATCTGCCTCGGTGGCTCAGTAGTAGAGTGCATTCGCACACTGTGCTTTTCAGCCAGGAACATCCCAGCTTTATGGTAGGTTAGCTGATGTCAGCCATTGTGGTAGTACAATTGGCCTGAGAATCGGAGTGGGGATGGGTAGGAATCAAATAAAAATGCTGCTCCTTTATTACTCTCCGGGCACGTCTGTTCGATGCTAGTGTAGACATGACCGGATTCAGCTTTGACGTCGGCTACAGTTGAACCTCCAGCCAATGCCGTCTAATAGAGATTCCCTTGTGTCTACGGACTCGTCCCAGCGCAATTGGCGTTTTTAGAAGCAAATTGGGGATTATAATCTGACGTGAGGAATCCGGGGCAAGGTCGCTGGAGTTCCGAAAATCACGTCCCTGTAGCAGTAGCTCCTTGTATCAAGATCTTGTGATGTCCCCTTTTTTTTCTCTCTGTTGTATCAATAGCTGTTGATACAGTGGAATCCTGATTTCCTGTTTTGATGGCCACACTCTGGAATGGGGGTGATTCCAAAATACAATGCGTTTGCTGCTGCTGACTCGGTCTTTTGCGCTGGCTGTGATTAGCTCTTACCGTAAAGCTTTGACGCCCATCTACACCAAATGCACTTCAGTCCTGGATCGGCGAAGAGCTTTGGGTACCAGAAGTCACTCACTGCACTGAATAATTTCCCATTGATTGGTCTGGACGGTGTACTAGGTGCAATGGGAGTGTAGAGAATACCTCCAGCAGCAGAACAAGGTCGCTCCTTCCAGTACCCAGTGTCCATATCCCGGACTGTCCCAACGCCTTTGGGCATCCTCCCGACGTGAAAGGCGCTGTGTAAATGCAATTTATTGTAGCTGAGAGTGGTGGGTGGGGGCCCATTTCCTCATGCTGCAGTTGACTGGCTGCTAGGAGAAAGCCCCAATGACTTGATCACTTCTCTCCCTCCCTCGATCTCCCACCACCTCCCAGCAGAAGCTTCCTTCGGATCGCAAGCTCGGCAGTAGGGGATTAGAACTTGTGTGGCTTTGCACAGCGTTGCCCTCTATTTGATTCGGTATTTGAAATTTCTCTTACTTGCCGCCCTACCAGTGAATGAATGGCCGACCGCATCGATGCGTATTGGTTGAATCCGAAGTTTGGTTGCTTGCTTGCACGTGGATTGCTCAGAATCAACTTTCACGCACGTTCTTTGAAATGAATCTGCGAATTTGTCTCAGTGAAAATCGAAAACTGACCAGACAGGGGAAGGTTCGGGGGCTGTGGGGGCGCGGGGCAGGGTTGATGATTACAAAGGAGAGGGGTGGGGTGGGTTAAAGAGAAGAGAAAAAACATTCCGACCTATATCTAAAATAGCCCTTTGCGCACAAAGTTCTCTGCCAAGTGTCTTGGCCCATGTGACGGGTTGAGAAGAAATTGCATTAGCAATATTGTCTGTTCCCCAGGGAACTCACGGCACTATTGTCAGCAGAAGAAAGGAGGAAATCCAGCACTCACGTGGACAAAAACAAGCTGAATTTCTCTGCAATGCAGCAGTTTGTGGTCAGAACACTTGGCAGAGATTTGAATGTGAGGAAAATACTGAGATCTATCATTTGGCGCAAGGGTAGGGACAGCTTTGTGGGATAATGTCTTGAGTATTGCACAAGCGATCTGTCCATATCTCGACAGCTTGCTTGTAAAGTGCTCAGGTTGGAAAAGGTTTAAGTTTCGTGACTATGAGAAAGATCTCGGTGTTCGCACACTGCTGAAACATTTATGGGTCAACTTAATGTTGCAGGATCTGCTCCTGTGTGCCACTCAGTCTCAATAATATTAAAATCCAATTTGTTCTCAGTACTTCGATGCAAACAAAGATTTCTTCAATTTTATCGCATTTTTTAAGAAAAATTATGCCTTTTTTCCATAAAGAATCACAGTGAACATACAGTAAAATCAAAATGAAGCTGGTGATTTAGTCTTGTTCTGTAAAGGGCTTAAAATCAGAAGACTGGTTGCAACTTTTGACACTAAATTTAAATGATACGGTACTTTCCGAATAGAGTGCGAGCATGGATATGATGCTTCAGTTTGATGGGGGTACAGAAATCAGCTGCTACTAAATAATGTGTTAACAAGACCATTCTTCTGGATGGCCTTGCTGGTGTCTCATTTCTGTTTCTGTGTCGTTAAAAGTAATCGTGAGCCTGAAAAAGTCCGTCTTTGTTTTTGGGACGTAACCTTGCACTTTCAAACTGAGCACAGCCACTAACGGTTCTGGGTGTTCAACAAGTGTACGCTTTTCCATCCCTACACTTAACATTCCTCTACCCCATCCCTACGCTTAAACATTCCTCTACCCCAAGCCACTCTGAATTCCTGAAAACAGTGAACATTCCTATTTCTCGGGAAGGGGAATGAATGTCTAGCTTTGTGGGCAAGGAATACTGCAAGGGGGTAAGGACCACAGACGAGGAAGGTACCCGATTCAATCCCGGGGATCAGGAGGGTCTCTACAATGGAGCTTGGTGCCTCTACAGAGAGGAGGGAGAAACCAAAGGGGAGCTTGCTCCTGTTCACTGCTGGAAAATGTTTGTGAATGGAGCTGGGATGATGCCAGGCTGTGGTACCCTTCGTGTCTGTTTGAATAGCTAGCCGACACTCACTGTCCAGCAACCTCACTCACCGAGGATAGCTACAGCCAGAGGTTAGTGGAGGGCCTGGGCTCCAGCAGTGCCTTCGTGAGAGGAGGGAGGAAGATTGAACAGGGGAAAAAAAACTATTTGGTTTTGTTTTTCTTTTATAAAGGGAAGGTTGAACCCGTGACTTTTAACATCCGTCTCCCTCACAGTAAATGCAAGTCACTATTCAAGAGGCTATTTTTGTAATTGTATCGTGTCCTGTTCGTGTGCTGACGGAGGAGTGAAATCAGGATTATTATTGTGGAAGTATGAATCCATTGTGTTAATATGAAGAGATGTGCCATCTATAATACTATATCCTCCACGATGATTGAAATCCACCTTTTATTTTCTGTAGCATGTAGTGTAATGTATGTTTATAATATACCTAGCCAATAAAATCACCTGGGAAATGATGGCTTGTGGAGACTTATTCAAGGAAGTCGCAGAGGTGAAAGGAGCCACACTCTATTGCACCGTATCCTCCAGTCAGGAGACCAGCTTTCTCATTAGTTTATTTGATTACTGAGAGACTTTATTGTCCAATTTTCCTGGGGTGAGAAAGCAAATATTTTATTCAACTTTGTTCCTCTTGCCCATCTTCCAAAGGTAGCCCTAGCCCCAGACGTGCTGACAAAGCCATTCTTCACCAGCGAGGTTCAACAGCACAGCTCAGCGGGTTTTTCTTGCGTGGAGGACATGAGAGCAGAACCAAATCCAGCCCAACAACATAGTCGCTGCTCTATACTGTAAATCCTGTAAAAACAGATACCTCCTGACTTGAAAGGTGTGCCACAAATTACACAGTCAGTCCACTTCACGTTCTCTGAAGCGCTTTGCGACGTCTCAACGACATGATAAGGCGCTATACATAGAAACAAGAGGAGGCCATTCAGTCCCTTGAGCCTGTTCTTCCCTTCAATAAGATCATGGCTGATCTGTACCTCACGTCCAATTACCCCCGCTTGCCCCATACCCCTTTATACCCTGACCTAACAAATAGCTATCCACCTCAGTCTTGAAGCTATAACAAATGCAACGATTATTACTATTATTGAAAGGCTCTGTATCCAAAGGATTATCATTATTATACACGTGTTCACTTTAAAGCAGATGCCACTCAATGGCTGGCATAAGAGGGGGCTCTGACCTTCTCCCCTTCTTTCCTAATCTCCCTCCCAGCTCCTGCTGGAGGTGTGTGTGTGTGTGTGTGCACGATTGGTAAACTCTGGGCTGGGGTTAGAGCAAATCGCTTCATGGTCAGACAGCAGGCAGCTGCTCACTGTCCGCTTCACAAAGGATGTAGCTTGAATCATACTGAAATACTAAAGCCTTGCTCTTTTAGACAATGGGATAAGTCAGTGACGGATTTGATTGGATTCTGTCCTCATGCGACCTCTATGCACACACAGACATGGGTGAGGCAATGGAGAGTAAATCAGAATTCTCTCTTCCTAACTCAGTGATGCTGAGACCAAATATGTTACAGTACTTTCATTGCTATGCTGGTTAAAAAATGAAAAAAAAACTACACAGCCAGAGATTGAACCTGTGACCTTATTCTTTCTGGCTTAATCACATACTTGGCATTGCTCTTGGCTATTTCTCCCCTCACATCTACAAGAGGCTGATTGGTTTTGGGTAGCAGCTGCTCTCTGGTAAGACTAACCCAAGGATAGAATTCAAGCAGGTTATTCCACTGGGGACAGAAGGGGGAGAAGAGAGAACTCAGCAAAGCACAATCCACATCCCAGTAGGGAATCACTGGAGTCTGATGAGAAACTGAAACCTTGGCTAAAACCACACAGTTCCTTTACAGCCTGCTCCTGCCTGTGCTGGGACCAGATATCAGACCTCAGACTATCTTGGGCTCTTGTCGCTCAGTGAAAATAAAAATGACACATAAGAGGAGGCATTCAGCCCATCAGGACTAAGCTGGTACTAAATCGTGCAATGGAGCTAATGACTTGAATCCCTACTCTTTCTTCTTTCCACTTACCCATTTTTCTCATTCCTCTTCAAATGTTTATATCTTTGGATGGGAATGACAGAAGTCTCACGGCATTATATCATAATAATAATAATAATAATCCCTCAAAAAAAAAAAGGTCACTCTATAATCCACGACCGTGGGGCGCTGCTGTGCATAATTGACTGCTGCGTTTCACCCAAAAATGCACAGTCACTCCACTTTCCAGTATATTCTGTGAGGCTCTTTTGAGACCTCTCGATGACATGATCAGGCACTATATCAAATGCAAGGATTATGATGACTATATCCAGCTCCTTTTTAAATTCTCTACCACGTCAGGCAGTCTACTTATCCACAGAGAGCCACGGACGAGCCTTCCTTTTCAAAAGATGCTCTGCGATTCTCTGAATGATATCAACCGACCGCTCCCACTTCTGCTTCCCTGAACTGGAGCCTTGGCAGGGTTTGTGATCTGCAGCGCCCACTAGCGACAGATGTTTATTGATTTATTTATTTTATGACCTGTTTCAGACACCTTGAGGTTGTATTTAATTGGGGTCAGGCTAACTTGAACAGCGCAGAGCCCTGAGAATCTTGAGCTGAGCAGAGGTTGGTTCCATGCTTCATCCTCGAGAACACGGCATATAAACAAGAAAATGACCCTTGGGGGGGCCCCCCCCCCCAATGAGCAATAACTGGGGGCTTGGAGCTCACAGTCCAGACCGACACGCCAGCATTGTGCTAAGGGACTACTGCATTGTCAGAGGAGCCTCTGATGAGACATCAAACCAAGCTCCCGCCTGTCTTGTTCGATTAGATGTTAAAAGATTCCACCAGAAATGAAAATGTACCAATCGACAATCCTCCAGATAAACTGGACACTTGTTTCATGGCTGTTTTTTTTCGGGACATTGCTGTGCACAATTGTATTGCTGCATTTGCCTAATACTGTCGTCCCATTTCACAGTAAATCCTGTGAAGCGCTTTGAGACCTCCTTCCGACGCGACAAGGCACTACACCAAATGCAAGGATTATTACTGTGGCTGATTGACTGCTGCTAAAAACAATAACACTTTGAGATGTTTGGATATCGCAGGGACTGTGGCGAGCGCAAAAACTGTTGTACTATAGCAATCCGAAGCAGCGACTCGTATCTGAAATATAGTTAACATCTCACATACTGAATCAAATGACAATAGTTCTTTTTTTACAATTTATATTTCCCACCCATCGTTGCCTTTCGCACAATACACACGTACAGGTCTTAAATTACACTCCAATCCCGTTCTGGGCTGTGTCACAAAATATCTTCGGCTTCCAGCAGGGGGCAGGATGGAGCAGCCACAGTTAATAATAATAATAATAATAATCCTTGCATTTGATACAAAAATGTATCACGTCTTCTAGACGTCTCAAAGGGCTTCACCGAATACACTGTAAAGTGCGTTGACTGTATATTTGTGGGCGAAACGCGGCAGCCAACGGCGAGCATATAATAATAATAATAATCCTTGCATTTGATATAGCGCTTTTCACGTCGGGAGGACGTCCCAAAGCGCTTCGCAGAACACACTGTAAAGTGAATTGACTGTATGATGAAAGGCGATTAGTCGGAGCTAGAACAGATGGGGGGGGGGATCCGATGGTTTAAGTAGGAACCCGGTTGCTAATCGACTGGCGGATCGCTTTCCAGCGGTTATTAATATCCCTGAAATAAAAAATGTCACTCAATCCACGACTGTTTGTGGGGACGCTGCCGTGCACAGTTGGCTGCCGCATTTCGCCCACAAAACGTACAGTCAATTCACTTTACAATATATCCTGTGAAGCGCTTTGAGACATCTCCACGGCACGATAAGGCGTGATAATTTAAGGATCATTATTTATAATCCCTATTATTTGTGATGAGAATCTGCCAGCCGGGAGTCTTTGACTGTTTGTGCTGCTCCGAAGCCCGTTCACTGAGGAGAAGGAACCAGCAAGCGCCGACCTGGGGAGTGAGGTTACACCGGGTGACTCGTGTGGAGAAAACACCGGCGCCCGTTCGAGGGGCCGGGTGGCTTTGATTCCCTTACCGGGGGACCTCATTGCAATATGTGCATTGCAGCACCTACTAGTGGCAGAACTTTGCTTTGCACCCATTTTGTGAAGCACTTGAGATGTTTCAACATGCGCTACATGAAATGTGGCCTGCAGAGTTTGTACAGGCGGAGTGCCCAGCTCGCGGCAAGGCTTACAGTAAGCCTAACTGGGTAAGCGAGGGCAACGCACAGCCAGGATTCCTGCTCCTCATTGCTGTCCAGAGAACCTCCCACACTCAACCACCATCCCCTGCTCTCCCCCACCACCATCCCCTGCTCTCCCCCACCACCATCCCCTGCTCTCCCCCACCACCATCCCCTGCTCTCCCCCACCACCATCCCCTGCTCTCCCCCACCACCATCCCCTCCTCTCCCCCACCACCATCCCCTGCTCTCCCCCACCACCATCCCTCCTCTCCCCCACCACCATCCCCTGCTCTCCCCCACCACCATCCCCTGCTCTCCCCACCACCATCCCCTCCTCTCCCCCACCACCATCCCCTCCTCTCCCCCACCACCATCCCCTGCTCTCCCCCACCACCATCCCCTCCTCTCCAGCAGCCGTTTTGCACACATCGAAGTCCTGCAAACAGCCATGAAGTGAATAACCAATTTAGTTGAATAACCACCTGGAGGATTGTTGGCCAGAAGACGGCAAAAAGTACAGTCAGTTCGCTTCACATTATATTCCGTGAAGCGCTTTGAGACGTCTCAAAGACGTGAAGAAGGTTCAACATCTCACACAGAGCACGGCACCTCTAACAACGCAATGCATTTACACGGCGGCCTTCATACGGAGCAGCGTCTCAGAGCGCTGAACAATGGTGGAGTTTGACGTCGAGCTGGGAAGAGCGCAGGGGGGTTACCGTGGGTGTATCTCAGTGGGTCAGCACCAATTCGCATCAGCACCAAAGACAATTTTCGACCCCCGGTATTTTTGCCAAAGATATATTTTCTGAAAATGTCTACGTCTTTTCGGTGAAGACGAACTTGAGTTTGCGTGGTTCGGAGTTGCATTGCTGATGCACCTGGATGTCTGGAGAAACGGTTTCTCCCTCACTGCAGACTGTGGGACGAGTGATTTCTGGCACGGTTCCCAGATACTGAGAGCACTAAGTACCATTTCATCTTGTCCTGACAGAAAACCAACCCCACCATCTTCCCATTACAGCATCAAATAGTGTTGTAAAAGGATCCAGTGGACTCAGCCAACCTTCCTGGTAACCCAGCCCAGCGGCTTGTACCCTCTATGCAAATGTTAATACTTGCTGGTGGCTGTCCTAAACTTGCCCTTCACATCCTTTGTCCTCCTGGCCTGGCGTAGCTGGAAGTATTGCTTTGTCTTCTTTATCCCATTAACAACTAACCATGATCCTTGCATTTGATACAATCCCTACATACGGCGAAACTCTGAACAGTCTCCCTCAATCCGTGCGCCTTGTACCCTCCTTCCCAATTCTCAGGTCGCTTCCTCTTTGACCACGTGAGCTCCAAGTCCCAACATATCCCCTCTGAGACTTCTCTATTTGATCTGACGAGCCCTAGTTTCCTAGAAATCCCTGCTTGCTTTCCCCTCTACCAATGGAGATTGTTCTCTTTACCTACTCCTCAGCAGGATGGAGACAATTTGTCAGGAATCGACTTGAAAGCCGTAAAAATTAGGATTGCAAATAGTGTTCTGAATTGTCAGAGATAAAGTAATGAGAAGCTAAATAGATTTTATTCAATTGTTACCAGCCAGGTGTCAGCCTAGCTCAGATGGTAACACTCTTGCCTCTGAGTCATGTCATGAGCTTGTGGTTTCAAGCTGCACACGTGGACTTTGAGCTCACAATCCAGGCTGATGCCTGGATAGAGGAAGAGGGAATAATCTTCCTCTATCCCTCCTGCTTGCCCCTTTCTTCCCCATCTTCAGGTCCTGCCTGAAGACCTTCCTCTTCGACCATGCCTACCGTCACCTCCCACCACTCTGCCACTGTCGAGCGCTCTGAGACGTTACAGTGCGTGAGGAGCACTATGTAAATGCAAGTGGTTGTTGACTCTCCAGTGCAGTGCTGGAACAACAACAACAACAACAACAAATTACATTTGTATAGCGCCTTTCACGTTGGGTGGACGTCCCAAAGCTATTTGAGAAGAGAAGGGAGTTTCTCTCTCGCAGTGTCCCAGCCAACAATCTTCCGAATAAAATTGGTCACTGACTCCGTAGCTGTTTGTGAGACATTGCTGTGGCAAATTGACTGCCGTGTTCACTTCCTAAACACAGTCACTACACTTCAGAGTAAATCCTGGGAAGGGCTTTGAGACGTCTTGACGATGTGATTGAAACGCAATATCAAAAGCAAGGATTACTATCAAATGCGTCCTTGCTGACGGATCGATGTGTTATAATGTATGTCGTAAGGATTTGACAATTGCCACATTTCAGCGTTAAATGATCACTAAAATGACACCATAATTACACGGCGTGAACCCGGTCCTGCTCCAGTTTCTACAGGTTGCTTTCATCCCACAGATTATTCCTCTTTCCATGTTGGAGCTGAGACTCATGGTAACCCCCCCCCCCCCCCCCCCGCGCTGGGCCAGCTGATATTAGCTAACTTGTCCATATTGATCGGACAACAAGGAGACTCGAGACACTCCACACCACCGATCGATGCTGGTCTGTCTTGTTAGACGTTAGTGTTTGCCCGACTGCCCGGCCGACACAATAGGCGGATACGCCTTTCATTAGTTCCGCATTACTGAGCGTCTTAATGTCTGCCTGTCTGACCGCACACCTTACCTATTAACCCCCCCACCCACCCACCCACCACCACCACCGCCGCCGCCACCGCCGCCCATCCCACCCACACGGCCACCCCACCCAGACGCGACTGCGCATCCGCAGCCCAACCCCCCCTACTCCGGAGCCCCTTTCGCTGTCCGCGCGAGACATCGCTGCGTTCGTTCCCCGGCGCTCAATCCCCCTCCGCCGGAGAGCGGCCAACTCAGCACGGAGCAGAGGTCAGCCCTGGGGCCCGGCTGACCCCCGCGACAATGCCCTCAGCCGCCGGAAGCCCAGGGAATTAGCCTCCAAAGCCCGAGCGAGTCGCCGAGCGCTCAAACGGTTAACTCTCGTTCCCTTTCCTTTCGATCTTGCGTCCCCATGTCCGGCCCTGCAGATTCCCCGGACACAATCTGTGTGCACGTTGCATTGCATGTGGATTAACCACAAAAAAAAAGCCACCCCTCCCCACCCTCCCCCTCCCCTTGTCTGGCTGTGCAATGCTCTTTGAAGAAGCCGAACTATTTCCCCTCTAGTGCGGTAGGAGACAGTGTCCTCGCCTCTCTGTGTTTTTTTTTACACACACACACACACGCCCCTCCCCCCTCTGCGCTGACCGGCTCACCGAAGGCGGATGCTCCTGCGCTGGGCGCGGTGCCCGGCACTAGACCTTTTGTCCTCTTCGCCGCCGAGCGGCGGCGGTGGTGTATCGGTGCGCGAGGCGGGTGGACAGACACACAGAGTGAGTGAGTGAGTGAGAGAGAGCGCCGGGACCGCTTCACCGCCAGGCGGCCCAGGAAAAGAGAGCAAGGGCGGGGGGGGCGGAGCGCTCGGAGCCCGGCACTACATCCCGAGCGTCCGCCATTTTGGCAGCTGCTTGGCGGCGGGTACGAGCGACGCTCTCAGGTCCTCAGCAGATTTCCCGAGCCGGGCGCTCTCTCTCCCTCTACGTCCCCCCCTTCCCCCACCCCCTTTTTTTCTTTCTCTCTCTCTCTCTCTCTCTCAATTCTCTTTTCTCTCCCGAGTCTCGCTTTCCTCCTTCCCTTCCCTTCCCGCGGCTTCCCCAACACCCCCCCCCCCTCCTCCTCCTCCTCCTTCCTTCCCACCACCACCACCACCACTCGTCGCCTCCCTCCGCGAAAGCCAACCTCCCCCCCTCCCGCCAACCAAAGGAGCCGAGAGAGAGAGAGAGTGTGTGTGTGAGGGGGAGAGAGAGAAAGAGAGAGAAAAAAGAGCCGCTCCTCCTCCTTCCTCCACCACCGCCATTATTCACTAACTCGACCGCCTCCAGACAAGCTCTCGCTCACCCGCCCCCCCTTTCCCCCCCTCTGACGGAGACATGGAGGACCGCGAGGACCTCGTTTACCAAGCCAAGTTGGCCGAACAGGCCGAGCGCTACGATGGTGAGTGAGTGAGTGAGTGGATGGCGGGCGAGCGGGGCTGAGAGGGAGGGAAGGGTGAGGGTGAAGGGAGGGAGGGAGGGGTGAGGGTTTAGGCCGAGCTCGGCGGTGTAGGCGGGTGGGTGTGGGCTGGTTAGTCCGTTCCTCACCTCCCCACCCCCTCCTCTCCTTCCTCCCTCTCCCCTCTCTCTCACTCCTCTTTCCCCCCTCTCTCACTCCTCTCCCCTCCTCCCCCTCTCTCTCTCCCTCCTCTCCCCCCTCTCTCTCACTCCTCTCCCCCCTCTCTCTCACTCCTCTCCCCCCTCTCTCTCACTCCTCTCCCCTCCTCCCCCACTCCTCTCCCCTCCTCAGCTCCATACAAAATGGCGGCCGGCGGGCGGGCGGGCGCTGAGGGGAGCACAGCCCTGGCGGCAGCGCCGCAAAACCCGCGCGCGAGCCACGCCTCTCTTCAACCCCCCCCCCTCCCACCCTCCCTCCTTTGTATTGTTTTTTTATCGTATATAATATATATATAGTATATATATATAGAGAGAGAGTGAGTTTTTGGTGTTAAAACGCGGGCTGGTTGGAGCGTCTGTCTGTCTGTCTGTGTCTTCCCGCCGAGTAGGGAGCGGCTCCTCTCTCTCTCTCTCTCTCCCACCCGCTCTGTGGCAGCGGGTGAGCGAGCGAGCGACCCCTCCCTTTTTTTTACTACATAACCCTGAATTACCGGCAATTAAAGGCTTGGGGGGGGGGGGGGAGGAGAGGAGGGAGGGATACGGTGAAAGCGGGCAGCTTCCCTCCCACACCCAACCCCACTCCCCCCCTTTTTTTTAAAGACATATTTAAAAAAAAGGGGGGGAACACCCTCTCTCTCTCCCCCCCCCCGGCCCCGATTTTATCGCGTCGAACTAAGCGCAGTCTCCCCGTCTTGCTCGCCTCCCCCCCCCGCCCCCGTTTTTTCCCCCCCAAGCATCGGAAAGATCGGGACGATTCAGGATTTCGTGTTTTTTTTAACAAAAATTAAATGAAAACGCGCAAAAAAAGAGGGAGGGAGGGAGGGAGAGAGGGGGTGGGGAGTGGGCGATTTTTTTTTGTTGCAGTAGCAGCAGTTTCCAGTTTTGTCCCCCGACGTACAAAAGATGTTTAAGGCAGAAGAAAAGGGTCCATCCGGTTTGGGCGGGCGGGGTGGGTGGGGGGGGGGGGGGTGTCCAAACCCCCGATGATTTTTTTTCCCCCCGTTGAACGAGTCGCGAACGATTGCATTGCACAAGTGTGGGCTTTCGGCGTGGATTTTCTTTTATTCTCGCCGAGGCGGAAGTTGCGCCGGTCACCCCCAGCGCACACATGTTGAGAGAAAACGCAGGGTGGAGCAGAGCAGAGCAGAGCACAGGGAATTCGCTCGTCGCGAAAGGCGGAGATTTGCATTTTGATTTTCAAGGTGTTTTTTTTTCTCTCTCTCTTCCCCCCCCCCCCCCACACCCCACCCCGTTGACCGCGTCAAGGTTCCCTTTTGTCTTTTATTTTTTTTTAATCCACGACACCCGCAAATGTTTCCACGAGGGGTTTGCGTTTGCATTTTCAGAGTCGCAGGCATTTCTTGACCGTTCCAGCCTTACCTTTGGGTGTATTTGCAACGAGTGCATCTGTCTATTCAGTACTGTTTAAACTATTTTCAGCATCTCGAGTTTGACAAGCCAGAATACCTGATCTAAAATGTCCTGCATTTCTGTTCCACCACGATTTGTTTATTCCCTCTTTTTTTAAAAAAAACCTGCCATGCCTCACTTCGTAAGATTGTTTTTTTTAATTTTATCGCTTCTTTCTGGGTTCTAAAAAAAAAGTTAGCGTTTGTTACAGGTTTAGATGTTTCATTTTAGAATGGAAATTAATGTTTCATTCTATTCTGATTGAATGCTGTTTTGTTTGGGGTCAGGTTTAAAAATGAACTTTCTTGTTTTAGCTCATTTTTTCCTGCAGAGATTGTGCCAGATTTCTGGGATTTGAAAGGACCATTTTTTTTCTTTCATATATTACGTATTGCAGTAATCCACAATTGACAGTGTTCCACCTTTTTATGGTGATAACAATTTGTTCTTTGTGAGTGCTTTCTGAATGCAATGTCTAGTGTATTGGATTCTAGCTGTGTCTTGGATAACTAAACAAATTTTAATTGTTGGTTAAGCCATGAGGCTGATTGACAAGAAAAGCACCTTGGCTGCTTTAATAATTAAACTGGCAGCCTCAGGGTATGTGCTTGTCTCTACATGATTTAAGCATTGCATTTTTTTTAACCAAAAGTGGTTGTCCAGCATTTTTAAGATGTGCATCATAATTGGGAGTTGGTGATAGAATTCAGCTCTTAGCTGTCCGTGACAGGGCTACGGTCCTGCATGGCTGCATGTCGAGCTAAGGACAGCTGCATCTACCTACCTACACACCCTACCTTCCAGGAAGTGGACATGTGGATCATTGTAAGAGCGCCCAGACTCCAGATCGTGATTTTTTTTTAGAGATGGGGTGGGGTATATGGTGTAAATATAACTAGTTATTTTCTGATTTTAGGTATAACAACCGCTGACCACAAAACGGTAGTAGGGGTTGAAATTGTATTTTAGAATTTGATCTTAGAAAAAGTACTCGAGTTTTTTTTCCCATCCAGCTTGGGGCAGGATGCAGATTGTTCAAAGATTATTGTGGCCCAAGTCATCCTAAAATCATAGTGCTCCAGAACACGATGTGGTCTTGGTAGGTTCCAGTAAATGATGGAGCCATATGATTTAATTTGGGTATTTTCTGGTTAATTTGTTTGAATATTTTAGAACTTGTAAGGGCAAGGTCACACCTCTCACAGGGGAGGTACAGCATCATCTCCTTGTCTGCTGTCACATGCCCTCTATTGGCTAACTCAGAACTTTTGTTTTGTTGCCTTGATTGCTCTATCTAATTCTACATATTTTGATTTTATCAAAACTAAGTGTTTGGGGTGGGGGCTGTAGATATCAGTTCTAATCACAAAACTGAACTTGAGTGTAAAAGGACTTGGAAAGAGAACAAACATTATCATGCATGTGTGGGTTTTAAAATGTATTTCCTACAAATAAAACTGATTTTTGAAACATGTCTGATGTTCTTATTTGAAAAAATAACTACAGTACAGGGGAAGTAAATTTGTGATTAGTGCATCTGCCATGGGATAGGATTGGTCATGGGTCTATATGTGACATCCATAGAGGTTCTTTAGGTTTCTGATTTATTTTCTATTTCCTGGGCATTTACAAGGTTTATTTTCTGAACAATTTAGTACTCCACCACTTAAGGAAATGTGCTGCATAGGCTGGCACTCTGCCATATTGACCGTGAAGGTTCACAATTCAATCCCTGAGTGCTGACTTGGCTAGCTTGAACTGAGTATTATAATATTTGTAAAATGTAATATCCCAGGATTGTGAGTGGGGGAAACATCGGCCAGGTTTCCACATCATTGTCTTGTGCTTACGTATACGTGTTAAACATTGGGTGAAGATTGGTCAAACTTGGTCTCATTGTGTTAGTCTTACTGTCATAGCCTATCACTCCTCTGCCCAGGCTTGCATGTGGGAATATAGCCAATTAGGTAAACTGCAAGATTGCTCCCTTTGGAATCATACCCCACCCTGCTGGGAAGGTAAGGCTTTAGGAAATGAAAAGGATCAGGCCAATGAAATTCAAACCTAAGCAAAAATAGATATACAGATTTCTTTTAGTCTTCAGATCAGTAATTATAAGTTTTACTGAAACGCTTATTTTTATTCCGCTTGTTTGCTTTTCTTTTGAAATTAGTTTGTTAGTTTGCTTACTCAGGATTTATTTTCTGTGTTACTTTCTATTCTTGACAAACTCAGTCACGGTGCTTCTCACTCCTTCCATAGAAGTCTATTGTTACTGCTGGTTAACAGTAATGTGCAGGTCAGGTCATGGTGGTAGTAGCCCATCAAATTGAGGAGACCATCAGTTACTGAGCTGCTGGTAGGAATTTTGTGGAATTGCTGTTGGGAGAGTCAAGTAACTTGGTGCTCCGCATCATTGGTTTAAAGCACTTAGAAACTCATAATAATGTGATTTGGAGCATTGTGAAGTGGGGTGAAAATAGTTAAAAGTCTGTTTCCCCACTAGTTTCACAGTACATATTGAATAACCCAGGGAATGGGAGTTAACCTTCTCTTATATAATTATATTCTTGAGACCCTTTTTAATTTTTAGGTTGGAAGGTCTGTTAGCCATCATAAACCAAGATGATAGCAATGTCTTGACTGACAATTTAAGCCATTTAGCAAGTAAAATTATTAGTTCGTCTTTTCAGTTGAGAAAATGTTCTGCAAATTTGTGATGGCAGTGGAAGTATTGCAGAGATTGTGCTTGCCACTCATGTGGCTAAGTAATTTCTGTCCATTTATCACTGAGCACCCGCCTTTGTGCCGTGCTTGCTCACATTTCCAAATTGCTGTGGAGTGTTCAGCTATTTTGTTCCTCATTGTGAGAAACCAAACAATTTCTAAATCCTGTAGCTGTGTGTCCTGCCAATACTGTAATGGTATGAAATTCTGGACATGTGATTGTGTAGTGTCTATTATCTGGAACCACAAATCCTACTGTGTGTGTGTTTTTGAACCTCCACAGCCAGTGTAAGGCAATACAGGGTAAACAGGAAATCTAGTCAAAACTCCACAAGGTTATTGAAAATGGAGCATAAGCAAGAGATTGGCTCCAGAGCAGAAGCATCTGATCCGGTTTGAGTATGGCAGGTGAGTGTTGATATCTGTTGCCTAACTTTCTGTGTGGGATGCTGCTCAATGATAGCATTAGTACAACCAACTGTCCTGTTCCCTTTTTTAAAAAAGAAAATCCTCATTCATTCCTGGTATTTGAGGGTATATCAGTTTCAAACGGGTGGCCATCTTAATTGAAAGTGACAGTTAAGTGGGAGGTGTATTCCCTCTGGATCAAGCCATATTAAAGGAGAAATGTGGTTTGTTCCATCTTAG